TTAATGCTAAACGAAATAAATCCCGTCTGTGACAGCTGAATCCTATTCAGAACCGCCAAGGAGAGACCTCTCACCCATAGATTACTCAGGACTCCGAATATTATTTTTTTTTCAACTGTTTTTAATTGAGTGGGAAATCTATTTTCCTGGTGTTTTTTTGAATATCCACGCACAGGAGGTGAAATGAACTTCTGCCCATCTCTATGGTAATAATAGAGCGTACCTTCAGAATAATTTCCATAAGAAAAGCAGATTGCTTCAAATGCAATGTACTTTGTTGTCTGAGGAATTCATATGGAAGCATCAGAGAGAAATGTTCATCGCGCACGCGGCCAGGCACCTAGAGCTCATATGCGGAAAGGAAAATTTTTTATTTATTTTTTAAGTCCTCCTGAACCTGGGAAATTAAGTTCTTATCGGTTAATCGCTAATAATCGCTTACAGCCAGATTTTCACGCCGGTTAATTTTTAAAGGAAATTTTGTGCTCCATGATTTGCGCGAAATGGTCACATGAAAACTGAAAAAGGGGTCTTGTAAGGCAACGAAATCTGTGTTTGTGTCATCATTGTCATCCTTTATTTCTCCCACGGGGAGGGGGGGGGGGGTGGTTGTCTTTTTCTCTAGCCGCTAGCAGCTGCAGGCGAAAAAGACGCGATGGCTAGGCACGACCAAAGACCTTATACTAAGAAGACTGGACACTCTGCGCGAAAGCAGGGTAACCGCAATGGCGGTCTATGCCCTGGTGGTTGGCCCTCGAACTAACGTCAGCGCTTCCTGGAGCAGAGCGCTAGTGTCTCTTGAACGAATTCGCGCCCGAAGTTTCACGCCATTTCTACAGTGCGACTGATAGACATGGCTGGCGGAAGACCATGAAGAGGAGTTGGGAAAACAATGTTCGAAGAATCTCCCCGGGGGAGGGCTAGGATTCTTGAATTCAGACAGAATTGCAAGACGATGCATGCTGCGTGGGTTGCATATTTAGCAAGGAATCAGTTTATTTAAGAGGAGTTGGGAAAACAATGTTCGAAGAATCTCCCCGGGGGAGGGCTAGGATTCTTGAATTCAGACAGAATTGCAAGACGATGCATGCTGCGTGGATTGCATATTTAGCAAGGAATCAGTTTATTTTTTGATAATTTACGAACTGCTTTATTTTCATGAACTGGAGACCTCTGAATCCCAGTGGCAATTTCATCTTTTGCCGAGAACATTTTGGCTTAGCTGCCAACAACAATGTGTGCGAGTACCACCAGCTGTAACCCAAATGGACCCCAAGAACATCTAATCTAATCTAAGAACTAATACTTTAATTGAAAGAGGCCGAAAGTCGTGGCGGCTGTCACTCCTAACGTGCTAGGCCTACAATGCTATGCCATTTCAGGCCATCCAAGGCCTAAACCGCCAGGCCTTCAAGGCTCTGTCATTCTGGGCCATAGGCTAGGCCATAAAAATTGAAAGAGGCCGAAAGCGGTAGTGAATGGTTGTAACCTACCTGCGTAACGTCCATTAAGGACGAACAATCGGCGTTTATTATGTACAGGGTAAGGCAATTTCTGCAAATAGCTATGCGTTACGATCCCTTTGCCACTCACCGCCTATTGACTATTGTCATGTTATAAATTCATAACGAAAACTAAGATGGCAGACATGGCACAAACGGCTCTTGGCATTGCGGGTGCTATGATCGTCACCCCTTCTCTTCAACCAACTTTTTTTATGATGCAATTCTTTCTTGAAGCGAAATACTATCGAAGGTCCCTCGACTCCTTGTCGGGACAGATTTTTGTTCATATCTCACCCCCGAGTCCATCATGGTTGAACTTAACAGATGGAAACGTTAATAGGGATCCTTGAAAAGTAACTCGATCGACTTACCCGTTATCCCCTTTCACCGCTTGCTTCCGCATCTGTTTCATTCTCGGCTAACGGACTGAAGGACTGAGCCAGGGCGCCGTCCTTTCCGGTTCTAGGCGATACAGGCTCTGGGCTTGTCATCCGCCCGCCATTCGCGAATCTGCAGGGCTATTCCATAAAACATTCGTATAAAGATGGAAATAACTGAGTGTTCGATGTAGAGAAATTTTGCTCGAATGGAGCTCAGAATACATGAGAATAGATCGATCCATGGCGATGACATCCTATATGCATCCAACGGACGACCGTCTCTGGACTTATGTCCATCTCTGGACAACTGGACTGTCCATGGACGGGTTTTAAATCACCCATGGCTACTTGGGTGGGGGTTCCTTGAATTGCCTGAATAAACTGGAATCGAAAATGAAATTGCAAGCGAGTGGCGTAATTGATCGACGTGAATCTGATTCAGGTGATCTCTTTCATCACCCTCAGATCGACTCTCTCTAAAGGAGATGGGTCAGACACGGCTTCACAGACAGGTAAATTGCTCTTTCATCACCAAGGGAAATGCGTACCTGCTTCAACATTTACCTCACGGAATGAAGTCTCTTTTTCATAGGTCATAATGAAGTCATAACGAAGTCTTTAGGCTCTGGCGGACTTCTGCCACTAGTTTGTCTCAGCCTTTGTCTCAGCCTTGCATCATCTTGCTTTCCTTTCTGCATTAAATTGTGCATACCGTTCTTCATTCTCTTACGGAACAGTGTTGCACTTTGTCATCACGAAGAAAGCCTACCTTAATCTGAGCCACATCTTTCATCTTCGTTTTGGAATCCTTGGCAGCTGAGAAAATCCCTGGATCTTTCTTCCCAAGGATCACAAATCAAATAGTTCATGCTTCAAAAAAATTTTCCCTTTCACCGGGCTCGCTTTTCCGTCGTAACGCCTCAACAAGCAAACACAAAGTGAGGAGGCATCGACAGAAACAGTCACGCTCCTCCTTCCAAAGTGCATCCACGCAGCCTTTGAACGCATTTAAAGCATGGATAAACGGGTTAGCAGAAACTAATCCGAATCTTCAGTTGGTGCATGTCACTCGTTATGCTGGTAGTTTGCTTTGGAGGAAATAAGTAAGCGAGGAAATTTCAATCAGTTTCCTGGCCGGCGAGCTTCCACTCAAGTGCCTCTAAACCGATACAATAATTTATTAGGTGCAAGGAGCTCAAGACTCACGAAAGCGCCTTAGCTCGGAATTCCAGCTTACCGTTTCTCCCGTCTCAGCTCCACCCCACCTTAACCTAAGATTCCAGTAACCTCTAACATTGAGAGACCCATTTTGCTCTTTTGGTTACTCCTGGGATTTGGTTACTACCAGGGTTTGGCCTGCAGCACTCGTTCTTTCACGTCCCAGATATCAGGACGCAAGTGTGGAGTGCTCAAGGGCGCCCATTTCAAACACCCCAAAACTTTCCGAAGCCGAGGAGACCAACTCGGTCGGTTCTAACCTGGGCACCTGTCATTGATGCGCTATCAACCGAGCCACTTACCTCGAACGACCAGCAAAGGATTGTAACTCCTTCAGATTTAGTCTCAACACCACGAAAATAACATTAGGATCTTTTCAAGGGTTCAGGCTTTCCAACGACGCACATGTCGCTTGGATACGGCGAGGAATCCTCTGATTAGCATCAGTTTTGTTACACAGAATAGATATGGCGAACAGACAAAACACATGCACCATATAAATGAAATGCATAATGTTAAAGGAGATTCGAATTTACTTGCAAATCACTGCACAGATAGGGCCTTCTGGGTCTCCAATTATTGTACAGGTGCAGAGATTTGCTTATGATTTCATGCCACCAATTACATCTTGCACTTGAACTTCTATGTTGCATCACAGGAGGTTAGGGTATATATCCGATGATAGAAATGACACTAGGCCTGAGGAGCCCATGTTAAAAGGCGTATGTATTCATTGGCAAGTCGCTCTAGTTCCTACAGGGCAGCCTTGTCCGGAGACCTATCTTGACCCAAGCTGACCGGCATCCACCTGACAGCCCCCTTCAGAACGTCAAAAGAAACATGGCGACGACGATACGACCGGGCTTGTCGTCTACCGTGTCACAAATGTTTCTTGTTGGCCTCTTCTTGCTACTTAATGTTGTCGATGATGTGAGAAGTTGCTGTGGCATAGAAGTGTCTTTCCTTCGAGTCGGAAATACCAACTCAAACGTGGTAGACATGTCCAGGTTGTCCGAGTTGGGATTCATGGACCACGTTCCCATCTCTGTTTATTTACGTTCATTGGACGTTCCATTCAACGCTGAAGAACCTTTATCACCCAGCGGAAATTCCATGGGTGGAGGAGAAATAAAAGAATATCTTCTATCGTTCACACGTCGACGTGGAGAAAGAGGCACGGTGTGTGAAGAGAATGAAGTCGCTCAATACAGTCCTCTGACAAATATTCTATTGATCTCGGAAGCAGAATTGCATTTGTTGAGGTTAGAAGCCACGAGTGAGCAAGAGCAAGTGGGATCCAATAGTCGCCATACGGCACGACATAATTCTGAAGATGAATTTCAAAATTCCTTCCAAACAGTCCAAATTCATGTCAGTATTGATGATCTGAAAGAACTTTTATACACATCAGATGGAAAGGATAAGCAGCAGGGTCATGCGACTTCTCAGGAAATTATGGGTGACAGTAGACATGATCTTATGAGGCCCTATGTATGGAATAGACTTGGATTTGGTGCATTAAGTGCATTGAGAACTCATGACAAGTCAAATGGGAGAATGTTGTACCTGTATTGCTGCCTTTCTGAAGTTGTTAGAGATTCATACAATTCTAACATGAAGTGGATCCACCAAGGAGATAATGCATCAGTCATTATCCAAACTGGGACTTTGATGTCAAAAAGGTATTAAAACCAGGTCCAAGGCTGACCATACTCTTTAGCCTTAGCCCTTGCATACCAATGTATGTCAAAATAGCACAGTTCATATCTCACTTTAAAAAAAAGTTCCACCAAGCCTTGCAAGGGATAGTTTTTTTTTTTTCTTATTGCTTGGAAGTCTGTAATGTGAGTGTGGCAAATTCCATAATTGGAAAGCTCTATTTATCTTCTTGATTCAGTTAGACATCATATGAGGAATCTTGCAGAACTCTATTGGGGCAATGAAGAAAAGAGAAATGAATCACTCCTGCCAACTGCCTTTGCACTGGTCAATATTTTTTTAAAGGTATGTATCAGTGTCAAGAGTATAGATTTTGAGATGAAATGAGTGTAAGATTTTTTTTTTCAATTCATTAGTTCACAATTTGACTTAACAGGAGAATCAGTCTTTATGTATTTTTGAAAGCTTAAATATCTGCAGAGACAGAAGAATGTTCCCCCATCTATTCAAGCTCTTATCCCTGAGGAAATGGGGGGGAAGCTGTATCACAAGGACAGGTATGTACACCATAGTGTGCTCAAGAGAGGAAGAGGGTTCCCTGAGCCAAGGTGATATTCAAGGTTCTATGTTTCAAATATCAAGTTCATAACCTGGGGTTTTGGTCTAATGGGCTGATAATTGCCTAATTGCAGAGGGGTTGGGAGGAGAAATCAGCTCTTTATGGTTTCAAAGATTATTTCAAATTTATCTGTGCCTTAGGCAACACATTTTATGAGCTGCCCATTATTGCCATTCTGAAGTAAGACCTGTAATGGGAGGGTAAAACAATATTTGTGCTGTTTCAGCAAATCCACATTGTCTATGAGCATCTAATGCTTTGACTGGACTCTCTCAAGATAGGTTTTCAGATGTATTTTATGATAATGAACTCACTCTTAGGGGGATATAGCAACCCCAAGTGATTTATAAATATAGTGTTTTTCACTTGACCTATTCAGTATTTTATTGAAAATATGTTGGATTTTGAAAATTTGAAAATGGACTGGGGCCCCATCTGGGAGCCAAAAGGAAGAATAGCCTTTGTGCTGTGAGTGTTTACATGAAGTCTTGTCTTTTTGCAGAAGCTAGAGTGCCCCATCCATTTTCCATTTCTGATTTCTTTTCAATAATCATTCATAGCCAATGGTACTCATGATCTATAACAGTATTAACTCTTTCATGGAGATGGGGGAGGCAGAGCCTAACCTGTTTCCGCTGACAGTTCTCCCCTCAGCAAGATTTGTAATGAGAATTTATATGGCTTCATATACAGTATGTACCATTTGTTGCTACATAATTCTCTATATGTATGTAAGTATAATGAATACCACACAGATTCATGGATAAGGTCAGAGGTTCCAAATGCAATCTGACATGCTTTGATGATCTGTTATGGAATGTTATAATTTTTTTGGACCACTTTGTCCCATGTTTTGTCCATGTGGGTATGAAGTTTCAAAGCTGATTTCTCCATCTTCAAAAAGCTTTTACATTTAAATAATTGTATAAAAATAAATTGAAAGCTCTTTTCAAGAGCTTTCAAATTTTCACTTGTAAATTATGAAAAAAGCCCAAATTCTGTAATTGTAAATTTTGAATATTTTATCAAACTTTTGACCTCTGATATATATGGAAAATTAGATCCAGGAAGCATTTTATTTATTTCATGATCTGCAATACTGATGAATATTCAAGCTAATCTGTGACAGTCAATAATAGACTTTTAATTATTTAACAATAATTTTGACTTGGAATAGTCCTGCATTCATATTGTCTGTTCTAAAAAAATAAATATTTACTGCATTTCTGGTTGGGATGATACCCTCATAAGAATGTATTTTTCATGGTCTATACTTGTCAAAGAAAGATAAAGTATTATGACTTATAATTGTAGCATTTCTTAGTTGTTGTGACCATGCATGGAGAATATGTGATTGATGACCTGCTTTGTTTATCTTGACAACCTTGTGTCAGACTAAATGTATTGATTTAGTCCTGCATTGAACAGTGTCATTTTAAAGTTTTCTGAAGTTTTCAAAATTCATTAAGTTCAATTTTTAAATCTCCTGTTAGTAGAAGTCAGAAGTCTCAGGATATGATGACTGATATGTAGAATTTTCATTCCTCATAGCTCATTTCCTTACTTCTTTCTTTGCAGCGATTCCCTACATTTTACTCCTGTCATGAGAAGAAATTGAAAATTCTCCAGGAATCTGAATGTAATTGCTTGTGCAAATTGGATATAGTTTAAAGGGTGTTCTTAAGATGGAAAAGGTGCTTTGGCATCTGAAGTACAGTATTAGACTATTGCAAAATGTGAATATAAGATAACCTTGTCCTTCCTCAAATACATCTCCCACCCCTGCCATAACCTGCTCATAACCTGCTTTCCTATGAAATTTTTTTTCTTGCCTTTTCATCCAATTGTGCTCCCTATCATGTGATGTACTTTTCCATATACGATTTGTGAGCCACACTGCTCTAAATATAAACATAGACTTTATGGCTACATTGTACATCACATGCATTGTTTTAATGATGTCTATTTGGAGGTTCTAACCTTGGTTTGGTGTGCCTTTTTTTTGCTGTGTTAAGGCAAAAGCAAGCTGATTTAGTAAAAAAAATGATTTGATTGATGGATGAATGGATAAATGTATGTACCAACAAGCCTTGAAAACTGAATTGTTGATTAAATTTGGCATAATGCTTGGTCAAGTACTGTAATTGGCCAAGTAAAGGTTTCACTTGTTCAACCATTAAGCCAAAATCATTGGTGAATTCAGTTTTTTTTTTTTTTTAGAGGTTTCCTGTTTTAATAGTTGGCTAAGAGTATAAGAAGTGTGCAATTAAGTGTTTGATAGACGTGGCCTTTTGTAATAATTAGATTACTTCATTAGATTGTATTGATACTCTATGGCAATTTGCAAGTAAGTCTTGCCTGCTCACTACCTATAAAATCTCCATTTCACTTCATTTTGAAATGTTCAATAGTAAAACTAAGCTGAATGCTGAAGTGAGAATGGAAGGCTGCTACATTCTTATACATTCTTGTTTCTTGAGTATTGCTGCAGTTCAACCAGTGATTTTTAAATGTTCTCCACCCTTTCTCTTCAACGTGACTGTCTCCTTAGCTCAGCCCATTATTTTCCTGCTTTAGGTTTTTGATTTCCTTCAACTACTCTTCTTGGCTCTTAGGTATGGTGTCATATTGCTCTGCATAGAAACTGAGGTCCTTTTCTACCTGTCATAGGGAGTTCTTGATCTTGGTGAGCTCTTTCAATCATTTAGAGTTGTTTCTTAATCTAACCCACTGCATCCAGATTATTTTTGATCCTCAGTGTTGTTTGCTTTTGCTTCCTGTGCTTCTACTCAGCTATTGCCAAGCTACATGGCATGCTATTGTGCAACAGCATCAGACTATTTCTTTGTCATCCCCACACAATGGGAGGAGCCATTGATAACAAGGTCCCTTTCATCCAGTAGCTGGGAGCTACTCAAATCTCATCCTTCACTCATGTACCACACTATTTTTTAAAACGAACATAGGGATTTTAGGGGGGTCTAAATTTAATCAAAATACTCTAAACCACAAGATGTTATCAATGGTTTTTTTTTTTACTCCTCTGGGGAAGATATAGCCTTAATGTAAAGTAAAAACTTTTTCATTCTTATTATGACAGAAATATTGCATATTTGAGTATCTTCAAAGAAAGATATAGTGACAGAGATTTTAAAGTGAGTTAGACTGCTACTTGTAACACTGAAGACTGATATGAACATTGATTGAATCATTTTGCTCTTGCCTTATTGGGAAATAAAGCCTTCATAAATGAAATCCAAGTGTTTGAGAACATTTTTCCATGAGAGGATAAGCCAGACTAGGAATGCCGCACAAAAAAATATGAAATGCTAATTTTGACCCCAACCAGCTGTATCTTTTGAGTTATGGAATCATATTGTACTTAAATACTGAGTTACTCTCATAGTATGAAAATCATGCTCTAACTTTCTACTCACTTGTACGTTGGGTAGTGTCACTGACCTTTACATGCAACCTCCTACTCTTAGGAAATGCCCTCTCCCCCACGTAAGCTACTGCCTGTATATTCTTAGTGCGCAATAACTTTTCTTTCTGTAAACTCAGTACTCTAATTGCCAATACATATGTATTCATAGTGAAAGTTCTACAAAAATTGCTCCATTATGAGCAGAGATACTTTGATTAAAAGTCATTGGTCTTTTTTTTTTGCCTTTCCCTATATAAAATGTACTACATATTTCCAGCTATCCAAATAAAACATTTTCTACAGTGGTTATGTAAGCATTGTATGCATGTGTCCTGAAAGACAACTTTGGGGAAAGAAAATTTTGCATGACAAGGACATTGGTAAAGAGAAAGAAAAAGCACTGGAGTGAAAACAATGAAGTAAGAAAAAGGGCACTAATGAGGTTAATTATGGACAGCAATGCAAGAAATAAGCAAAATGGGCATGTTTTGTGTTTTAGGTAAAAATATAAGCTGATGATGCTCACATATGTCAATGGGACTGAAATAGTTTAGAAATGCATGAATATCCTTCCTGAGGCTCCTCACTAGTACTTGTCTGCTTCTCTCCAATGCAAATTGAGTTGGTTTAATCTACCCAATGTCATTATATAGGCTGTTCATAAAAGAATGAAGCAATTTTAAAAATTAATAACTTTTAAATGGCTTCTCTTGAAACAATGAAACAAAGACTGAAAGGTAAAGAAATGGTTATTTTTTAATTCTGAGTGCTGAAAGTAAACTAAGAGCACATCTGTGCCATCTCTTGAGAAATATGTACATTTCTCAAAAAGTGCACCCTCAATGTAAGCAATGCAGCACAAGGCTATGTGTGCTTAGGCTTGCAAAATTTGACTCTGTCACATGAGTGTGGTGTGAGTTTTGTGAGTTTACAAGAAAAAACCACCTTTGTGCTATGCCATCATAAGGTGGTAAAAACAATTTGAAGAAACTGGCAGTGTCAAAAAAGGAAACTCCACAGCCTATCTAGCATATCAAATATAGATTTGGACACTCTGTGTTAGAAATTGCCTCACTTTCTGATAGAATCACATCGCCCTGAAAGTTATTGCAGTACTTTCCAGCTGCTACTGCAATCTTGCAGCACTCTTTCTTACAAATTGAGCCTAGTTTTTTGTTCCTGCATCTAGCTCATCATTCCTTCATGAGTTTCATTCAGCCAAGGCTTTGAGTCATGAAGTCCCTGTGTGTAAACTCACCTGTCATCACATGCTTCTCCAAATATGTTAAACAGATGCTTTCTGCAAGTTCTTTCTCACCAACTAAATTTTACTTTGGCCTCTTTTTTGTCCCTTTGGACTTTAGTATATTTTTCAGTACAATTCCATCACTGCTTTCTTGCTCTTTCTCTGCTCTCTCATTGTTTCCTGCTACAGTTTCTCTCCTTTTTTGTTACCTAAGCCTATATGCCATAATATTCTTCTGTTTGTAATGTTCATATTATGTATGTGTTTCTTATCCTATGTTAATTTGCCATCCATTAGTGCAGTCTGCTTTGGTTTTCCTTTTGTTTATGAGTGCTTTCTTTTCCTGTAATGTAATTAAGTATTCTAGAGTTCAATTTGTAAAGGGCATGTTTTGTCATTGATCTTGTGCTGCCCTTTATTAATGCATTACATTTTGGTTCTGATGAATGCCTTTGATGTCAAGGGACAACCAGCATGCTGTGCTGAATGCTTTGTGTCTACCTTCCCTTCAGCAATCTTTTCTGTGATATTCATTTTGATACAATCCATAGGAGCCTCCATTGCCTCATGGAAGTGAATAGTGACACTGATATTCTCTCTTTTACTCCCACACAAGAAACTACCAATATACAGTAAGATTGAGAAGTTGCAGAACCCATAATAAATCATGCCATGACCAAAAAAATCAGCACAGAAACTTTTTATTTCACTAAAACTTAGTTCCACTAGTGAAGCACCAATAACTTCAGCTTAAAGGCTTAGTGGTAGGTCAGCCCTGTACAAGATNAAACCACAAGATGTTATCAATGGTTTTTTTTTTTACTCCTCTGGGGAAGATATAGCCTTAATGTAAAGTAAAAACTTTTTCATTCTTATTATGACAGAAATATTGCATATTTGAGTATCTTCAAAGAAAGATATAGTGACAGAGATTTTAAAGTGAGTTAGACTGCTACTTGTAACACTGAAGACTGATATGAACATTGATTGAATCATTTTGCTCTTGCCTTATTGGGAAATAAAGCCTTCATAAATGAAATCCAAGTGTTTGAGAACATTTTTCCATGAGAGGATAAGCCAGACTAGGAATGCTGCACAAAAAAATATGAAATGCTAATTTTGACCCCAACCAGCTGTATCTTTTGAGTTATGGAATCATATTGTACTTAAATACTGAGTTACTCTCATAGTATGAAAATCATGCTCTAACTTTCTACTCACTTGTACGTTGGGTAGTGTCACTGACCTTTACATGCAACCTCCTACTCTTAGGAAATGCCCTCTCCCCCATGTAAGCTACTGCCTGTATATTCTTAGTGCGCAATAACTTTTCTTTCTGTAAACTCAGTACTCTAATTGCCAATACATACGTATTCATAGTGAAAGTTCTACAAAAATTGCTCCATTATGAGCAGAGATACTTTGATTAAAAGTCAATGGTCTTTTTTTTTTCCTTTCCCTATATAAAATGTACTACATATTTCCAGCTATCCAAATAAAACATTTTCTACAATGGTTATGTAAGCATTGTATGCATGTGTCCTGAAAGACAACTTTGGGGAAAGAAAATTTTGCATGACAAGGACATTGGTAAAGAGAAAGAAAAAGCACTGGAATGAAAACAATGAAGTAAGAAAAAGGGCACTAATGAGGTTAATTATGGACAGCAATGCAAGAAATAAGCAAAATGGGCATGTTTTGTGTTTTAAGTAAAAATATAAGCTGATGATGCTCACATATGTCAATGGGACTGAAATGGTTTAGAAATGCATGAATATCCTTCCTGAGGCTCCTCACTAGTACTTGTCTGCTTCTCTCCAATGCAAATTGAGTTGGTTTAATCTACCCAATGTCATTATATAGTGTGTGTATAAAAGAATGAAGCAATTTTAAAAATTAATAACTTTTAAATGGCTTCTCTTGAAACAATGAAACAAAGACTGAAAGGTAAAGAAATGGTTATTTTTTAATTCTGAGTGCTCAAAGTAAACTAAGAGCACATCTGTGCCATCTCTTGAGAAATATGTACATTTCTCAAAAAGTGCACCCTCAATGTAAGCAATGATGACCATGCAGCACAAGGCTATGTGTGCTTAGGCTTGCAAAATTTGACTCTGTCACATGAGTGTGGTGTGAGTTTTGTGAGTTTACAAGAAAAAACCACCTTTGTGCTATGCCATCATAAGGTAGTAAAAACAATTTGAAGAAACTGGCAGTGTCAAAAAAGGAAACTCCACAGCCTATCTAGCGTATCAAATGCAGATTTGGACACTCTGTGTTAGAAATTGCCTCACCTTCTGATAGAATCACATCACCCTGAAAGTTATTGCAGTACTTTCCAGCTGCTACTACAATCTTGCAGCACTCTTTCTTATAAATCGAGCCTAGTTTTTTGTTCCTGCATCTAGCTCATCATTCCTTCACGAGTTTCATTCAGCCAAGGCTTTGAGTCATGAAGTCCCTGTGTGTAAACTCACCTGTCATCACATGCTTCTCCAAGTATATTAAACAGATGCTTTCTGCAAGTTCTTTCTCACCAACTAAATTTTACTTTGGCCTCTTTTTTGTCCCTTTGGACTTTATATATTTTTCAGTACAATTCCATCACTGCTTTCTTGCTCTTTCTCTGCTCTCTCATTGTTTCCTGCTACAGTTTCTCTCCTTTTTTGTTACCTAAGCCTATATGCCATAATATTCTTCTGTTTGTAATGTTCATATTATGTATGTGTTTCTTATCCTATGTTAATTTGCCATCCATTAGTGCAGTCTGCTTTGGTTTTCCTTTTGTTTATGAGTGCTTTCTTTTCCTGTAATGTAATTAAGTATTCTAGAGTTCAATTTGTAAAGGGCATGTTTTGTCATTGATCTTGTGCTGTCCTTTATTAATGCATTACATTTTGGTTCTGATGAATGCCTTTGATGTCAAGGGACAACCAGCATGCTGTGCTGAATGCTTTGTGTCTACCTTCCCTTCAGCAATCTTTTCTGTGATATTCATTTTGATACAATCCATAGGAGCCTCCATTGCCTCATGGAAGTGAATAGTGACACTGATATTCTCTCTTTTACTCCCACACAAGAAACTACCAATATACAGTAAGATTGAGAAGTTGCAGAACCCATAATAAATCATGCCATGACCAAAAAAATCAGCACAGAAACTTTTTATTTCACTAAAACTTAGTTCCACTAGTGAAGCACCAATAACTTCAGCTTAAAGACTTAGTGGTAGGTCAGCCCTGTACAAGATATATATATACTCTAAGTTTCACTATCCAAAAGAAGTCTTGGTTGTTATTGTACATCTTGTGAACACCTACAATAAGCTTTTGTATACACAGGCCAGATAGATATAAAGTGCTGCCCTCTGTAAACCCTTTCAGGAGGTAGTTCATGGCCAAAGTTATAGAGCATATTATCAGGAAGTGCACAGCAAGATGAAAGTCTGAGGTTAAAATACAATTTAAAGAATCTACATTACAGACATAATGCTAGAGGGATCTCTGTGGCCTAATTCATGTCATGGTCACAATATTCTTCCCTCTTGTTTTTACATCCCATGGTTAGAGCATATCATTTGGCATCTACCATAAGTAGTTCCTGTGTTTTCACATTGCATCAATGTTGTGAAGAAGCCTATCAAGAGTGCCTAATCTTAAGCATTGCATTTAAATCTTACTAAAGTTTCATTTTCATTCCTTGGAATGGGCAATGAAAAGAAGTTTCTTGATGCATACTAACTCATTTATGTCAACATTTATTAGTACTTTTTTCTTCTCCAAATTGTTTGGACAGGGAGGCAGAGATCAGCCATGGAGTTGCAGCTTTGAGACAGCGTAGGATAACTCACAACAATATGCTCAACAACCAACCTCCTGCAATTTTTGGAGTTCGAGGAGAAGATGCCAAAGAATCTGCATATTTGTCAGGTGTGTTGGAGATCCATGAGTCCAAGCCTCAAAAGTTACGATTTTTTGGGATTGGAATATCACTACAGATGAAAATTAGATTCACTACAAAACCTGAGAAGAGAGGAACGTCATGTGATGAGGCACAGTCCACAGAAGTATTCCAGGTATGTTGACATTAGTCAGTAGGCTCATAATTTTTTCTATTTTTGTCATTGAGCAATATCAACTATTTTGATTTGGTTTTTTTTTCTCAGTTTCTGGAGGACACAATCTCACTATATTCTGGTGTAGTAGAAGTGAAATTGGATCTCCTACCTGATGATGCTGAGGCATATTTCATCTGTTTGAAGAGCACCAATCCCAATAGTCCCACATGGATCCATCAGGGCGATGAGATTGGAGTCAGAATTGTGACATTTGCTAAGCTAATACCCTTCTGGTTGAACATCCTTGGCATAATATTCCTCCTCCTCCTTTCAGGGCTCTTTTCAGGCCTGAACCTAGGACTTATGGCTCTTGATCAAACAGAACTGAAAATTGTATCCAAAGTAGGAAATGAAAAGGAAAAACGATATGCCAAAGTTATATTTCCCCTGAGGCGCTTGGGAAATTACCTTCTATGTTCTATCCTTTTGGGAAATGTGGTATTAAATTCAACATTGACTATCCTGATTGATGAACAAGTGGAAGGATTGACTGCAATTATTGTATCATCCCTGGGTATCACCATATTTGGAGAGATTATTCCTCAAGCACTCTGCTCTCGCTATGGGCTTGCCATAGGAGCTTGGACCTCATGGATAACAAAAATTGTGATGGTGCTCACTTTTCCACTGTCATTTCCCATCAGTAAAGCACTTGACTTGGTCCTTGGTGAAGAGATTGTAAATGTTTATGACCGTGAACGTCTCAAGGAACTTGTGCAGGTGAGTGCCTACTGTATGAATCACAGTAACAGATTTACATATTTACTTGAATAAGATTTGAACTTATTTTCCATCAATACATAAGCTAAGATGAAGCAGAATGTTGTGTATTAAGTAAAGGATTGTGAAAGGGCGCTCAAACAACTTTATTAACCCTTTCAGGAGTGGTTTTTTTGTAGGGTGCATGTTCTTGGGAAACTTGTATTTTGGGGAAAGTAGTGAGTAGGCAGAACAAAATTACAGGCTTAGAACTTGAATCAGGTCTTATCAATGTTAGGGTAAAGGATTGTAGATTGCAGCACAAGCAGTGGTCACATGATTCTCACATGGAGCCACAAGTTGACTGCATCTGTATGGCCAGAGCCATTCACTTAAAATGAAGTGGAGCATACTGGTGCTTCCATACTCCTGAAAGGGTTAATGGCTGTAAAGAGCTGAAAGGGCTAAGATCAAATTGTGTAATCTCCCTCCTCCTTTGGTAGGCATTTACATTTACCAGTATGCTTTGGTGTCTCATAGGTGTTTGTATTGACCTCTAATGTTAATTAATAGCTACTCTGAACCATTTCTCAATTTTTCCTACCAAATTTTATATATGCCTCTAGTTAAAACACAATCTTTCTCTGTCTCTGGATTCCTGTTGTCAGAAAGTGGAATGTGTATTGGGGAAATAGTGCTATGTGACTTTGGCTTTGGGGATATCTTAAGTCTGTTGTGAATCATGCAGCATTTGCCACCTTAATGGACCTCAAACATGCTATTCACCATCATGTGGCCATATTAGATGTTGGATAACTTTGGTCAGCCATCTATAACCAGAATATCCTGGTTGCAAGCAATTGTAAACATGAAGGGAGGTCACATTGAGCAAATGCTGGTGGCTGTATCTGATGACCCTATATTCCTCATGGTCTCATTAGTGTTTGCACCAAAAATTGCTGCTTTATGATGCATAGTTTGCATATTATAACAGTCTGAACATGGGAAGAAACTTTATACTAACCTTGTACATAAGTGTCAATTCAAGTGCAAAGATTTTCCAGAACAAATTTTAAAAAGGGACCCCCAACAAGATTGACTATCAGAAATCTCTGTGAGGAGTTCTATGAAACAGGGACTGTGCTGAATTGCCATTTTTTGCTAAGTGTTCCTCAATGTGTTTGAATGGGCTTCAACTGTGCTGCAAATGACATCACAGATAAAAAGTCAGGGGTGTACTAATGCAGAAGGGAAGTATTTCCAGGTGAAAGCCACCCAGGTGATCCAGCTCCCTTCTTGTTTCATGGATATTCTTACAGAGCTTTCTGATACTAAGAAGGAATCTCCAAAGAGACTGACAATGTGTCCTGAAAAGTTTTGCCACTTTAATGGGGTACTCATGCACCTCCATCCATGGAAAAACTTTTGTTCTTTCTTTCTGATTCATTTAAATTATTTTAATCAAAGTTTCCAGTCTTCATTCACCTGCAAATAAAAGAAAATAGGGCAGTGTCAGTGAAGTTCTGGGGAGAAACTAGGCCAGCATAAGTGAAAAAAAGAATTATTTGTAGATGGCACTATATTGGTTCCATTCAATGAAACAAGTTATCCCAAAAATTACTTTAACTTTTTTGCTATCATTCAGCAAAGTTTCAACTTCATAGCTTTTGTAGTTGAGCTTCCTGAACTTTTGTATTTTTAATAATAAACTTGGTGTCTATCCTGTATTGTTTGAACCTGTCTTTCTTTTTTTACTATCCAAAAACCAGGTGAGCCAATTCAAGGATATCCACAAGGAAGAAGTGAATATAATATCTGGTGCCCTTGATCTGAGGAAGAAAACTGTAGTTGATATTATTACCTGGTTGGATGATGTCTTCATGCTCCCCTATGATGCTGTATTGGATTTCAACACACTCTCTGAAATACGAAGACAAGGCAAGTGATTCACATTACCACAATATTTTCTAAGATCTCCAAGGTTGTTGCTCTGAGGTTGTTGCCTATTGCAGGTTATTCACGAGTACCCATCTATGATGGATCTCCCAACAATATAGTGTCGGTGTTGTTTGTCAAGGACTTAGTGTTCATGGATCCTGATGACAAAAAGCCACTGAAAACCTTGTGCAACTTCTACCAAAACCCTCTTTTCTTTGTATATGAGGACACCACTCTTGATGTCATGTTCAATGAGTTCAAAGAAGGTAAGATGTCAAATGTCTCTTGAATTGTGTTTATTGGTGCAGTTGTTTTAGCTGTAAGTCCAGTTAGTGCAGTTACGCTCTGTTGGTCTTCTCTCAGGCAGTAAGGGACATCTAGCATTTGTGCAACGGGTGCACACAGATACTGAGAAGGATCCTTACTATGAAGTTCTTGGGATTGTGACGTTGGAAGATGTCATAGAAGAAATCATTCAGGCTGAGATCATGGATGAGACAGATGTCTTTAGTAAGTTGGGACTTCTTCAGGGCATTGCTAATTTTATGTATCCAAAGATGAGCATCAAAATATGATTATTTCACAAGTAATATTTAAAAAATATAAGTCTTATTTTCTATTATTTTAAATATAGTAGTTTTACAGTTATCTATTTTGTTTTTCAAATAAATTTTTGTAGCAGATAATTATTTACCAAGCAGTTTTTCAAAATATATTTTAAAGAGTTTAAATGTTCTTATTTTCCATGGAGTCACATATATTTCATAAATGGATTATTTATGACTCCACTTACCTTTGACTACTCCAAAATTCTTAAACACTGATGTGCTTTTGATTCTGCCCCTCCAATGATGAAGACTTTAAAATCTAGATGTAAGATTTTAATACTAATTAGGGATGAGGTGGTTAATTGACCACATTTGAATTGACTGTTATTGACCTCTCTTCTTTTTATTCAGTGAATCAAGAAATTTTTTTTTATAGAGATCATACCTGTGGTTATTTATGAATACTCTAAAGCTCAAACAAAGAACCAGTTCAATTTTAAAGTTATATTCATCCAGCCTGCCAAACATCTGGACTCTGGCACCTGTTGGGCATGAAAATATTATAGCAAATGCTCAAACTTCCATGACCTCTCACCTGAGTGATGTATAGTGTGTGTGGAAGCATAGCCTGCTGTTCAAGGTCTTACAGCCTTAATTACATGGAAAGTAAAGGTTCAAGATCTAAGTTACTGCATTAGAACTTTAGTGCAACACAAGGTCTATCACGGTCTTAGCCAATAGTCTCCATCAGAGCATCAAATTATTCTCAGAGTCTGTGATCAAGAGGCAAGTACTTGGATTATGCCTAGACCAATGCTTAAAAAATATTGTTCTAGCTATGAAGAATTTCCTTGAGCAAGCTAGGTAACTGATTTTTCTGAAGGACAAGGCTGGCTTATATTTAGATAGTGACATCTTGGTGGTGCTCTGATTAGACCTAGGACGGTATGGTATGCCTGGACTTTAACTTTGGTTCAATTGGCCCAACTTAGCCTAGTGAGACTTTGGTCTGGGTTTCAATAACTTTATGATTGTCATTCCTCCATTGGGAAATTTTTATGCCTACACCTTAGTCTCTAGATAGCTAAGGTGTAGACTTTAAAAATATTCTGTGATGTGAAATGAAGCCACAATGGAATAATCTGGAAATTCTTCAAGATAGAGGGCTTCATGGCCAGAAATTGGCTGTAAAGCAACTGCAATATGCAAATTCCCAGAAATTACTATGTTGACCAATCAGCTTCCCATGCCTAGTCTGTAAATTGTGAGTCATGACTTACAAATGGAACACAAACTGTGAAGGAAAAAAACAAAATAAAAGTTGGCCTTATTGACCGTAGTTGACCAATTGACATGTTTTTAATTGACCCATCAATAACCCATCCCTAATACTAATAGATGTGGATTGTACACCTGAATGACATCAGTGCTTATAAATGCAATGGATGACAAAGTTGCCTTGGACATGTATACAGGCTATGCTGAAAAAAAGCCCCAAACTGTGAACCCATATGGCTCAGCTCTTACGAAATATATGCATAGGCAGATATGTTCTCAGGAAAATTTTTACATTTTACCCAAACTCTTTCTGCCATGGCATTGAAAGTAGATGGGAATTACACTCCAAGCCCTTCAGACACTTTTTCTCCAGTCTGTATGCACTTTTTTTTTTTATCATACTGGATGGTGCTAAAAGAAAATATTCCATGTGACACTTTAGCCTATTGAAGAAATGCTAGGTTTGTCTTTATCTTTATTATCTTTACGTCCCTGAGAAAATATGCAAACAAATTTTTTTTCAATTTTAAGTTCTCTTGTTTGTTTGGACAGAGCTACAGTTGTTGAAACTTCAGTAAGAAAGGTCAGCATGTCCATGTATCCAGCTGTAATAATTTTAGCAGTGCTCTACAGTTGTATCTCATTTGTCTGCAATAAGCTGTTTTTGATAGATGCATCCTTTTTTTCAGAGTCATTGATTGTATTGTGTCATATTTTCATATCTGACAAAGGATAATGTTACTGTGGTAAAGGTGGGTTTTTCCATGAAAGAACTTGAAAGAAAAAAGGATGAGTTCAAGCAGAACATGGTTCATGATTTGATTGAAAACTTTGAAGATTTTCTCAAAGATTCTAAGTTTGCTACCCTATTGGTTTGGGCTCATCTTCCATATGCCATCTGAGACACCTCCAGTTCTTGAACCATGCTTTATGCTAATTGTGACTTAGATTCAAAATCCCTGGCTTTATGTTTGGGTATTCCAGTATTGCCACTACAAGTCACATCTATGCCCTTGTTTGCAGCTGACAATCGTACTTGGAAGAAAAGGTTGCGAAATGAACTCAAGCATGATTTCTCAGTCTTTGCACAGCATAGACATATCCATCGGGTTCAGATTTCACCTCAACTTGCTCTTGCTGTCTACCAATTCCTGTCAACATGTAAGTGACTGCAGTACAACTCACATTTGAGGGTTTAGGCTCCTAGAAAATGTCCACTATTATTCTGATTTGTTATCTCTTCCTGAAAGCTGTTGATGCGTTCAAGCCATCCATAATAGCAGATCGGGTCCTACGCCAACTGATCAACCTTGATGTGGTCCGTCAGATAAAGGTCCCAAAAGAAGGACCTCCAAATCCCAATGACAGCACCTACATGATTTACCAGAAAGTATGCATACCAGTACATCCTAATGCTTTAGTTGCCCTTACATGTAAGAGAAATTTATATTTTGCTTAATTTTTCAGGGAAAACCAGCTGACTATTTTGTGCTCATTCTTGAAGGCAGAGTTTCTGTTTTGGCCACACAAGAGAACCTGACCTTTGAATCTGGGCCTTTTTCTCACTTTGGCACCCAGGCCCTCACTTTCAGTGAGCTCTTCCATCATTTTTCATTTACAGTTTTGTGTAGGGCATTTGAAATTTTGCTAATGAGGGGACTGATGGTTTTTATATGATTTCATCATTATGTCAGATTCAGAATCAATGACATCTCTTGGAAGTGGACTGTCAGCAGACAGTCTGCCAACAATACCAAACACACCAGGAGCAAGATCAATGAGTGGAATTCCTGGAAGTTCAGGTCAAGGCTCAACCAGCAATGTCCAGTCTGCAGTCTGTCAAGAAGCCCCCGTGTCTTGTTCACCTCATGGATTCCCTTTGTCCCAATATAGTTCACAGGTATGCTTGGACATTCTCCCCTTTCCTTTTACCCAGTAATAGTTGAGTTGGAAACTGGTTGGATATTTCCTTTATCCTCTTCATCTACAGGTTACTTTTACCCCTGACTACACTGTGAGAGCTGTGACAGATGTCCTCTATCTCTGCATCAGGCATTTACTGTATCGTGCTGCTATCCAGGCCTCCATTCTGTATAGTCAGGAGAAAGAAGAGGAGGCTGTGCAGATAGAATCCACCTTTGAAAAGGTTTGCCATAAATAAGGTAATCATCAGTGGGAATGTGTCTTTTCAAATGATTCTCATTGTTTCTTTTTGCTCCAACAGATTCTGAAAGCTGGGAATTCCCAAAAATTTCTTCAATCATCACGTGCTGAGGCAGAATGCACAAAATCCCTTCTAGATTCCAGTTCTAGCACTGGCTCTTCATCCATCTCTGTATCCTCTTCATCAATGAAATGTAAATCTGATGAGAAACTTGTTGCCATTGAAGGAACATCCCTCAGCAAGAGTTTTGATGAAAAGTTGCACGTGAAAAAGGAAGGATCAGAGGGTAATTCTTGCCTTAATAAAGGTGACACTGAATCTCAAGTGCCGTTGGAAGATACCTGATCAAGTTATGATCCTCTTTTTTCTCCATTATGGAATTGGTTTGTGGTGATGACAGGATCCACTGAGTCCCTTGGCTGCTTCTTCATCCCTCCCTTCTCTCAATCTACATGATTGTACAACTGCTTACGTATCAATAAGTTGCCTAATGTTGCTGATATGTGGAAATGTCCTCTACAGAGACTTAAAGTGTGTTAATGCTAACAGACCTACAGAACTTGCTTCAAACCCTTGGAGCTTTCAATTGGTCATGTCTCAAATTTCAACATTCAGGGGAGATCTTATTTAACCCTTTGAATTGATAAAATAGTCTTGCTCTAGCATCTGTTATTGCAGGGGGTTGTAGTCAGCATGTTAATGATGCTGTTTTTGGAGGTCTTCCTCATTCAATTCACTTTGTATAATTAGAAAAGTACATAGGAGAGACCTGAAGAATGATGATGTTAAATCTCTCCTGTTCTAACTCTTAAAGATATTATTTTTTTGTCATGATTTTCATCATCTGATCAGATTTGTTTAAATATATATTTTAATCTGGTATGGCAGCATCTTGTATGCAGTTACCCACTTGAGAAGTTACTTTTAGTATAGCTAGTCATAAAAAATAGTTTAACAATTGTTATAACTAGTTAGTCATGAGTATAGTTTAACTAATAGTTACACTAGTCCAGCAGTGAGCTATACCAAGTTTTTAGTAGTACTGACAATGGATGAAACTGCATTTTCAATCAATCAAGCATTTATCCCTGCTAATTGATGAAAAAGTGCTATCAAAAGTGAATGTGAATGTAACATACTGATGTAGCAACTGTTTTTAACTGTTCCTACATCAGTATGTTTTGCAAAACTTTCAGAAAATTTTGACGAGACATGCAAGCTCTGAATTCTGTGATAGATGGAGCAAGTTCTTATCAGCATGTCCTTCCAAGCTGTTGCCTCGACTTCCCTCCCTGTTAAAAGTTTTCAAGAGGATTTCCAGCAGTTTTCACTGTTATAAATGGAGGTCTCTCAAGAACCAGCTGGTTAAAAGCTTGAGACATCCTCCATTGTGGGAGAGGGGTGGAGTTGTTGGGTGTAAATGCCTAGATGCATAAAGCCCAAAGCATCTTGCTCATCTGCCTCCGTATCCTGAAAATATTAAACCAAGTTTCCGCATTCCAGATTTGTTTATGAACTATATCTGATACTGACATATATAGGCCTACCTTTTTCCATTGTCTTTCCTGTTGTCATCTGTATGTACTTTTAAGTGAAATGTGAGTATGATGGAAGAAGTCTAGATGCCAATCACAATGTTCCCCATTGCATTTTGATAATATTTTCCCATTTCTGAAATGAAAATCTATTACCAAACAGTGTCCTGAAATGTGCTACTTTCTATATTTGATCAATAGATGACAGTGTTTTGTAGCACATGTAAAAATGGCCTTGCTTGAGTCAGCTTGTCTTCTGCATAAACTCACATTCTCCATGCTTATAAGAGCTCACCTCAAGTATCAAGGCCTTAATACTTGCAGAACTCATGCATGATTGCTAAGTTCCAATCCAAAATGTGTGTGAAGAATGAAAATGACATTCTCCTGCTGAATTAGTTTTGACAACTGGCAAGGTCTGAGTGACAATTGATTGCAGTCAGCGAAACCTACTGATTTTCAAATATACAAAGGATTAGAGTTTTATTTCTCATTGGAATAGAGGGGAGGTTGGGATTGGATATGATAGGAATTCTTGACTGTAAGTAACTAATGGGGAATTGGAGTAACACCTACAAGCGTTTGAGAACTTGGTTCCTTAGTTCATTAACTGTGAAAATTCATGAAAAAGATCAACTGTACCAATGCTAGACTTTACCCATTGAGTATAATCCTGCATTCGCCTTTTCCCACCTTGAATTAGGAATCTTTACATTTTTTTATGCTTAAGGAATTGAATCGTCAGTGCCTGATGAGTTCTTTGCAATGCTGGTATTACCGAATCATTTCTGACAAAACTGGCAGAGATGAACTTGAATCGGAATAGAGGGTTTGAGGTGCGATGGGAGGACAGCAGGGTTTTATTTTGAGTGTCTTAGAACCAAGAATGATCAACGTAGTAAGTTAGGGATCTGTAATGGCAGAAAATTCCTCGCAAAAGAATATTATATCACGTGGCTCAAACCATAGTCATATCAAGTATCAAGTCACCGTTGGGTGTCAACTTGAACGTCTGAGTGTTTTTATGCGAAACTGAATCTACTTGTTACAACATGCACTGTGAATCTGCCTGTTACCTTATGCCTTGTGCCTTGTAATCTGGATCTCATCAATGTCTCAGGACTAAGTGTATTTTTGTATTCTCGTGCGTTTTTAATGGTAGTGATTTCAACACTGTTCTACAATCATGTCTCTAATAATAATAAAGATGTAATTTGCAAGTGTGTTCTTTTGGGATTGAAAATCCGACAGCTCGGCTATTTCCTCTCTACAACTCAATGGACAAGCTTCTGGCTCAGAGATGGAGACTGTTCCTATAGCTTAGCTTCTCCGAAAATACCGGATAAAGGTATGGAATTTCCTGAAGTGGTTCTTATGGAGAGGATGCATGATATCCATTCTCGTGCCTCCAATTGGACTCAGAGGAATGCGAGAGGGTGATGTTTTGAATCGTGAAATGGGTAAAGAAAGCTACTGTCTCACATAGATTGTTGGTGGTCCTGGTGAATATGAAAAAGGCATTTGATAAAAAGCAATTTGTAAAATTCAGAGTGCAATCAAATTTTATGTGACATTGGGGAAATAGGTCAAAGAAACATATTGCATGTTGTTTGCTGCTGCTAATGGAGCAAACACTTGAGGCTGCTCGATGGTATTTTGCAAGCAAAGACGGTTTAAAAAAAAAAAAGGCCTTCCGACTCATGGTCAGTTTGGGCATTGATTGGTCAACAAGATCAAGCGAGGAAAGGAGTATAATAAGTGCAAGAAATCCTTCAAAGGATCAGAAAGTGACCATTCGTGAGCTCTGAGAGCCTGGATATGGTGCATTAATGTGATTTTTGCCTGGTTCCACTGATCAACTAATGTTGATGATCCACTTGATCTTGGGGGAACCCCTGGGGAAGATCTTGTTTATTGTAATACATTTGCACTACTGGAATGCCAAAGTAATTCTCAAGGCGTGTTACATTTTCCCACTTTCATGAAGGAAACGTCCATGAAATCATGGGAATCCAAATTGCTTAATTTTTTTAATATTCTCATTTCCGTCCAAAGAGGCCATTAAAAAAAAAATTTGGGGAGAAAGGCAATAATGAATTAAGTTGTCTCCTACACTCACAAGACTCAGTACAGGATCTCCACCAAAATTGGCATCTGTAAATAAAGGAGTAAAGGAGTTATGGAATCTTTCCACGAACTCCTACAATCTACGAACTACAAAGCTACCACGTACGAGTCGTACATAGTCTATATGTAATCATATCCATGTCAAATGTAGATCCAAGAAAGCCAAATGTGTCACCGGTTGCTGGATTTAAGAGAAAAGCGTATTAGTCACAAGGAAAGTCCAATGCGACAGGGACACGTCAGGCCACACCGCTTGTTGCATATCCACTACTCAACCGCTTACCATAATCCGTGACGTGGCACGACTACGCTCCATGCATAGGAAAAGTCTAAACTGGGTGATGGGTTTTAAACTGCAGGAAAATGACTCTGGAAGTTTCCTTGGGAAAAACCGAATCCGGTTGCATTCCTTTCCCCTCCTCCTTGGCAGAAAGTGATAGTAACTTGCAAAAAATCTAAACGTGCTGTTTGGAGAGAATGAGAGCCATCTGTAACTCGCGATGACTTCCTCATTCCCTAATTCCTGGGCGAGGGAAATTTATCCGAATCTCTTGTTCGATACGGATGGAATGTTTCACGAAATGGCATACATGCCGAGGATGCAAAATGGACCCCAATGAAGTGATTTGAGAAAATAATTTCTCTTGCCACAGAGAGGGAAAATAATGTCGGCAGTGCAATCCTGGATTGACTGAAATATTTTCCCTTTTCAGTCTGAGTTAAACTTGACGGCATTTTTATCGATAACCCGATGGTGAAACCTTA